CTCATTTTGGTTAATTACTGGAAGATGGCAGTTCTAGCCAAAAGGAACATTTTCTACGTTCTAAAGTTGTTTTTAGGATTAAATAAATTAATACCAGTAAAAGAGTTTAAAATAGGGGGGGGGCTAGATTGGTCCCTCTCTTCCTTTCTCAGGCAAGTGTATATGCCCTCTGCCAAAAATTTAATTTTTTTAAAATTTGACTTTATTTATTATTATTATTATTATTTTCCAGTTTGATCAGAGAGAGAGAGCAGGAAAGTGAGAAAGCAAACCACCAGGTCCAGGACTTGAACCGCAGTCAGCCATGTGGTAGTTCAGCCCTTTAACCACCACGCCACCTGCCAGCCCCCCAATTTTCTTTTAAAGATCTAATATTATTGCTTAGTTTTTTTCTTTTAACTAATTAATAAACCTTTACTGAGCATTTCCTGTGGGTTAGGTGCTGAACTTGATTGCAAGAGGGGCTGAAACAGTCTGCTTTCAACGTGCACAGGACACGAGTGGACAAAGCTAATCACGGATGATGTCAGCCTAGGCAGGAAGGTCACTCCGGAGAAAATGTCGCTGGGATAAGCAAGCATCCCCCAGGCCCAGAAGGGCAGAGGGGATCCTGCTGGAAAGCCAGAGCCTCCTCTACCACCATGCCACCAAATTCCATCCTTCTCTTGGGAATGCTTTTGCCAGTGGGATGGGGACCTTAATTATGTGGAAACCCAGGATATGTATTTCAACTGTAAATTCCCCCATCGAAGTACCCCGTTATCAGAAGGTCAGTCCCTATATTCCTCCAGGCCTGAGACTGAGGTCAGTATCTTACTGGGCCTGTAGGCTTGAGAGTCAAAGCCTCTACTCTCGCCAAGTGTTGGGATGTTTGAGAAGGGTCGGTTGCTCTCTGGCGCCCTCAGTCGACCATCGTGGAAATGGAACTGCAAGTATTCAGTCGTATTCAGACCTAAAAGATCTAACCAGGGTACCCATGCACCCTAAAGACCCCGACGCAAGGATTTTGGGTCCCACCCTCTGCGCGCTTTTGCGGCTCTATGCATGGGAGGTCTGCCCTCCTGGGCGAAGTCCAGTCGGGACCTCTTCCCTGCAGTGACGTGTGGGTCTCTGCTGCTCCAGGTGGTAGATGGAGTGGCCGGGAGAGCTTCGGCTGAGCGCGAGCTCTGTTCCGGCTCCCGCCGCCCGACAGGGCAGCAAACACCGCCGGGAAGCGGGGCGTGAGCATTGCGCCCGACCAACGCAACGACCCTGCGCAGAAGGGGCGTCGCCTGCAGGTCACACAGAGGACACCGGGCGGGGAATTCCAGAGGTGAGAGTGAAGAGAAGTAGGAGAAGGGACTGGGGGAGTCTGGGTGTCGGGTAGGGGACTGACCTTTCAGGGTGTGCGATCCCTGGCAGCTGAGCGACAGCGTGGGACCTGAAAGAGCTGGACCGAGAGTGAGAAGCCCACTCACTCACTGGATGCTTCCTCGAACCCAAGCCTGACAGGTAGGAGGGTGCCGGCCAGATGCCCAGAGAAGAGGGGCTGAGGGGCCTTGCCGCAGGCTCTGCCGACCCGCCCTCTCACCGTGCATGCCCCACCAGCGGTCTTGCGCTGTCCCCGCAGATGTCGGGAGCTATCTTCTCTCCCCTGGAGGGCCCGGGTGCCCTGGACGCTGCCAGCGGACATCCGCTCGTGTGCCCACTGTGCCACGCGCAGTACGAGCACCCATGTCTGCTAGACTGCTTCCACGACTTTTGCGCTGGCTGCCTGCGTGGCCGTGCGGCGGATGGCCGCCTCGCCTGCCCGCTATGCCAGTGAGTACCCTAGAGCCCAACACCGTCCCAATCCCCTCGCCCTCAGGCCGAGGAGGAGGTTAGCTCCGCTAGGCTGGGCTGCACCCAGCTGGTGGCTCACTGCACCAGAACTTGAAGACCCCCACCTCACCTCCCAGCCCCCCAACTCCTGTTTTACAAATTAGGTTTAAGGAGGCCAACAGAGAGTGGTTACTGACCCAAGGCCTCCTACAGAGTGTCAAGAAGCAAAACCCAGCATCAGGATACTCTAGTAACTGACTTGACTGGGAGGGGATGCCCAGAAGATTTAGATCAACAAAGCCATGTTGTCTTGTGGGCTCAAGAAAATGGTGGTGGTGGTGGTGGGGGGGACGCACCTAAATTTGCCTAATGCAATGAGAAGGTGCTGAGGGGAGGCTTCTGCTTTGGACACTCAGAGCACCAACCCCACAGTCTGGCAGGATTGCCCAGGACTGGCTCAGGGTAAGCTTGCTGTGGTATTTATAGCAGACCCCGGGATGCTGTGTACCCCACCTCCCCCCACACACCATTATTTTTAGCTCCAGCCTGGAATGTAAGGGTGGGGGTGGGGAGCCTCCAGGAAGGGGTGTCTGGATCTTGGCTGCAGCCTTTCCACAGACACCAGACTGTGGTGAAGGGTCCCAGTGGGCTCCCGGGGGGCCCCCCGCCAGTGGACCGGCTGCTGCAATTCCTGGTGGACAGTTCGGGGGATGGCGTGGAAGGCGTGTGCTGTGCCAACTGTGACCTGGAGTGCAGCAAGCAGGCAGGGATGACTGGGGCACGGTGGGGAGTAGTGGGTGCCAAGTTGCATGGTCCCCAGTGTTTGCAGCATGCACCTAACGGGGTCACCCATCACCTCCCTAGAGCACCTTGTGCCCCAAGAGTGAGCCCCATTAAGTAGGTGGAGAGACTGAGGCCCAGAATAAGTCATTTGAGCCAATAGCCAAATAGTGGCAGAGATTAAGGCCATTTAAACCGGTGAGAGTTTACTAGCCTCAACTCAGAATTTAGTTGTAACTTGGCATAGGAAGGGCCATCCAGTTCACAGCTTTGGATTCAGCCTTGAGGCCCCTCTCCTACCTAATAGCATGTAAGCAGCTAAAGCCCAAGGGGAAGTGAGAACATACCCTGCTGGCAGGGACCTTCCTGCCCCTAAATCTAGGAGAGACCAAGGATCTGGGGGCAAGACTTCTGGCTGGACTGTAAGAGTATGTGGGACCCTGGCCTGTGGAGACTGGATGGGTCCTGCGAGCCTTACAGGATGGCCCTGCAGGAGCAAGAAGGGCATGCTGACTAAGTGCTGACCACAGAGTAAAGAGATGATCAGATGATCAGCAAGAGGTGAGGGACTGCAGGTATGGAGCATGGGTGAGGACACGGCCTTGAATGCCAAGGTAAGGAGTTGGGGTTTGATCTGTTGGGCCAATACCAGGGCTATAACTGAAGACCTGGATTATTAACCATGGGTCTGACCTGGGGAAGGGAACCCACAAGTCAAGTCTCTCTCTCTCTTTTAAGAATTTTTTATTTATGGGACCAGCAGTTGGCATAATGGTTACATCGCTGGACTCCCATGTAATTGGCCACAGTTGGAGACCTGGACCCGGTGTCTTAAACACACACTAGGTGTGTGTGCGTGCATGCCCAAGATTCCAAGAGGAGAATGGAGGAGAAGGGATTGTGATGTGGCCTTCCCTCCTGGGGGGTGATTTCTCACTTTCTGTCTCTCTCTCTCAGTCTTTTGGGCAAGTGCACGTGCCCTACAGCAAAAACCTCTCCAAAAAAAAAATATATATATTTATTTAATTTTAAAAATGTATCATTATTATTTTTCAAAAGAATTATTTATTTACTTTTATTCATTTATTCGTTTTATTTTAATTTGACCAGAGAGATACACAGAGAGAGAAAGAGGGAAAGTGAGAAAGCCAGCCACCAGGTCCAGGACTTGAATCATGGTCAGCCATGTGGGAGTGTCCAGTGCCTTAACCGCCACGCCACCTGCTAGTCCCCATTATCTTTTTTAAATTTGCTACAGGGCATGTATGCTCACCAGAGAGAGACAGAGAGAAAGAGAGTGAGAGGAAACGTGAGAAAGCAAGTGGCCAGGTCCGGGACTCGAACTGCAGGCTGCCATGTGGGAGTCTAGCTCTTTAACCACCTGCTGCCCCCCTTCAAGTTTTTAGTGCTCTTCCCTTCCCCATTGAGTTGTGACTCCAGGTGGCCAGCATGTATGCCACCATTTGGCCACTATCAAGAGTGCCAAGGGAGGCTTGAGAGATCTTCTCTCACACACAGTCTCATACATGCACATGCACACACACTTATGCTGTAGGAAAAATATTTTGCAAATGCAGTTTCCATCCTTGCCTACCCATGGGACTGTATTTGCCTCTTGCTAACCCTACATAGTTTCTGAGCCTCGGTGTCCTTATCTGTAAACTAAATATATTAAAGCGGGGCAAGTCGGGATTACAGGAAAGGGCTGCGTTTAGCTGCAGGTCTGCTCCAGACCTGGACAGAGGTCAGGCCTCAATGACTCAGGCCACTGCTACCTAAGTACATGTAAGCTACAGCTGTTCCCAAGCAGCCCAGGCTCAGGAACAACAACTGGCAGCCGCCTGACCCTGGGCTCTGCTCACAGGACGTGGAGACCACATACTTCTGCAACACATGTGGGCAGCCCTTGTGTGCACGCTGCCGTGATGAGACACATCGGGCACGAATGTTCGCGCGTCACGACATCGTGGCCCTGGGCCAGCGCAGCCGCGATGTGCTCCAAAAGTGCAGTGAGTGTGACCTGCCCTCTGGAGGACTGGAGGGCAGGGAGAGGGGGGAGGGCTGCGGGGGGAGGCTGGAAGTCCCTGGAACTTTTAACCACTGCTTCCCACCCGACTCCCTCCGCCTCCACCCGCAGCTCTGCACGCAGAGCCCTACATCATGTTCTCCATGGACAAGAAGTCACTGTTGTGCATCCGTTGCTTCCGGGACATGCAGGGGTGGGTAGCAGGAGCTGGAGGGGAGGGAGGTGGAAAGCTGCAGAAGTGGGCCTTAGCTGCAACCTCCTGGCAGGGAGAGCAGGGCACATTGCGTGGACCTGGAGTCAGCCTATGTACAAGGCTGTGAGAGGCTGGAGCAGGCAGTACTGGTGAGCTGATGAGGGTGCAGGGTGTGTGAGGGGGAAGATCCTGGGCCTCCAGGGCAGAAGTGTGGGGAATGCCTGCAGTACTGCTAGCCTGAGGCTGCCATGTCCTCAGGCCGTGAAGGCCCTGCAGACAGCCACGCGGGAAGCCATCCTGCTGCTGCAGGCCATGGTGGAGGAGGTGCGCAGGAGTGCAGCAGAGGAGGAGGCTGCCATCCACGCCCTCTTTGGCAACATGCAGGTGAGGGGTAGGGGAAGACCAGGCTGTGCAGTAACATTGGTATGAGCCAATGCTCAGGCCTTCCCTCAGGACAGTGCCCTCATGGAGTTTCCTGTGTGGCGGGGCAGTAGGCATTGAACTAAATACTTTCCAGGAGTTGTTTTATCATAATTGCCAAGACAGATCCAGAGGGGAAGCCAAGGCCTGCCCTAGGCTGGTGCGGGTGACAAGGGGTGGTCAGGGAAGACTTCACCCAGGAGGTGACATTTAAAGTGAGGGGACTTAGGCTCTCAGACAGAGGGATGCAGGAAGGAAGGCCTCTGGCCAGTGGCCAGACCATGGAATAGAGAGATAACCAGCCTAGGCAGCCCGTGGCT